AAAGAAAACATGTATGGTGGATAGAAAGAAATAGAGGGTACCGATGGAGTGAAGGTCATATTGACTATAGAGAATTCAGTAGACTAATAAAACCTTATTTAAATAAGTATAAATTCATAGTAAAAGGTGAAGAAAAAGTTAAGTGGGTACGAGAAATATGTGGTCATGAAAATATTGTAGGTATAAGCGACAAAGTTATACCTAATTTAGAAATTTTAAGTAAACTCTATTGTAAGATATGTTCGCTTACATTTGTTTTAATCATCTGAAATATTGTGCATTGGGAAATGTTATATGTATTAGACAGTTGTTTATAGAAAATAGTATTTCTATGTCAGTTTTTGATAAATGAATTTCTTTTTATTCAGAACCCTTTGTATAGGATGAAAATATGAAACAATATATTATGATAATTTTAATAGAATTTTATTTTTCATATACTTTTCATTTACAAATGTTTCAAATAATATTCTATATGACATTTTATTTAATTACTTATTCTATTTAAGACTTAACCTACCTAAATAAATTATTATCTACTAATATACAACGCGTCCCAAAATTCAACGATAAGCGGGCGCCAAGAGGTAGACCTGCTCATGTGTACTTATGGAAAAATAAGAAAAAAATTATATCTTATTAATCTTTTTTATTATATAAATAAAATTTCGAAAATTTACACCTTTTATGATATTTTCAACTACCACGACTACAACTTCTCCATTATGTTCAATCTTGTTTTGGTATCGGATACCTAGGTAGTACTAATATTCGCTACAACTGTTAAAAACACCAAAATGCCCACAGTATTAACACAAAAAATCAATCAAAATGTATTTTTTTCCTTAAATTTTCACAGATTTTTACGTTCCGTAATCTTTGACTCACAGTCATGTAGAAAAAAAGTATGGACACTACTGCGGCAAGTTGTTTTTAAAATTGACGCAGCTCATGAAGATTCCATAATGGTATAATACTTCATGATAACTAGCAACAAACTAAAAATCATACCATTTAGAATCAAGAACCAAAGTTGTGAGTAATAAATTGTACTGTTCCGAAATGTTTTAATATTTAAAAAAAATATTGAAATAAAACAATAGTGAGTTTTAGTCTCATTCATTTATTAATAATTAACATTACAGTAAATGTTCAAATTGTTTTCCACCGGCATTAATACATGCACGACATCGCCTTAAAAAGAGCGTTTTATTTTTCGTGCATACCTTTTAGCATTGATATGTGACGCAGCCTGACTAATTTTTTGCCGAAGCTCGTCCAATGTCGTAATGGGTTTTTCATAGATTTTGTCTTTGAGACAACCCCAATAGAAAAAGTCCAGGGGGTTTAGGTCGGGTGATCGGGGTGGCCATAAGATAGGACCAAGTCGCCCAATCCAACGCCCGGAATACTCTTGGTCCAAGTATTGTCTCACAAGACGAGCGTAGTGAGCTGGGCAACCATCATTTTGAAACCACATATTTTGTAGATCTCTTAAGGGGACGTCTTCAAGCAATTCTGGCAAATCATTTTGTAAAAAGTTCAAATAACTGTCACCATCCAAGTTTCCTTGTAGTTCAAAAGGCCCGATCGCTTTTCCATTTAATATGCCCGTCCATAGGTTAACCTTAAACTGATATTGGGATTTTTCCTGTCTCATTAGGTGTGGATTTTCATTGCTCCAGCTGTGTAGGTTGTGGAGGTTTAAATATCCATCTTTCGTGCATGTTGTTTCGTCCGACCATAGTACTTTGTCCAAGAATTGAGGATCTTCCCGGTGCTTTTGAAGCGTAATACGGCAAAATGTGATCCGTAGTGGATAGTCCCGTGGTAGCAATGTTTGCACACGTCTGTAGTGGTATGGGTGAAGCCTGTGACGTTTTAAAATTCGATGAGCCGTACTTTTTGGGATTCCCGTAGCTGCTTCTATGGCGCGTACTGAAGTAGTTGAGTCAATGTTTATTTCATTGAGAACTTCTTCATCGTATTCCGATCTAGGTCTTCCAGCGTTGCTTCCCTCTCGGATCCCGTTCGGAACGGTTGTGCTAACAGTGTCTGTGTCAAATTCATAAATAAAATAATTAAAACTTATTTAAAAAATCAAATATTTACTCGAAGTCGAATCTGCCAAGTACTAGGACAACATAAAATTATAGTAGTTGACTGCTGTGCTAATACGTAAGTTGTTACGCCCCACCCACTTCCTTAGAGCGAGATCGAGCTACGCAGTAAAGGTAGATAGCTAGCTGCGCGCGCGCTGGTCGTCACTACATCGCTTGTAGACCACGGCCCCGCCCAACTTGTAGAACGAGATCGCGCTATATGAAAGACAGAAGCAACTAACAATACTTGCAGCCATCTTCAACGATCGAGGCCCCACCCACTGGTGTAAAAGAGACCGAGCTACGTGGGATAGTGAGATAGCCAGTTGTGAGTGTGTTGCTTGTTACTTTAGCTTTTTGTCAATCCGACTACGCCTTCGCTGTGTGAAGGAGAACGCTCTCTAAGAAAGAAAGAAACAACTAGCTGCGCCTGCGCTCAACTGCTGCGGTTTTGCCCTTCCAGCTTTTAAGTTAGTAGGCAAACCTGTTTAGACAACTATTTCTGCTTTGTTGACATTACTTTACGGAGGCACCGCTGACTACACTGGTCAACAAAATGATTTTTTTTTTGCCGTTGCTCAGAAGTGGTATTTTTTCATACCTTGGCATGCAACTACTATAAATATGTTCGTAAAAAAAAATTTAAACACCCATTTTTTTCATAAAATACATTTATTAAAAAGTAACCAAAAATTACTGACGTTCGTAAATATTTTTTCAAAAGAATTTATTCTGAGGATTTTTTTGTCCTTTTTGCTTGCCTCTTGTAACTATAAGACGGATGATCTCGTTTTAGTGTCCAACAAAAATCTGCAAGCATTCTCGGCGCCACTTTCCTTGGTATTTTCTTTCCATCGCCATGATATCTTGATGGAATCTTTCCCCGTGCTCATCGCTTACTGCACCCAAGTTTTCGGGGAAAAAATCTAGATGGGAATGAAGGAAATGTATCTTCAAAGACATATTACATCCTAAATCTTTATAGTCTTGTAGAAGCTTAGAAACTATCTCCTTATAGTTCGCAGACTTTGTGTTTCCCAAAAAATTCTTTGTCACTTCAACAAAAGAAAGCCACGCATTTTTTTCCTTTTTGTTTAATTTTGAAATAAAATTAGTATCTTTTATGACCTTCCTTATATCTGGCCCTACAAAAATTCCTTCTTTAAATTTAGCTTCACTCAGTCTAGGGAACAATGTTTTTAAATACAAAAAACCTTCTCTGTTTATATCCATGCCTTTAACAAAGTTTTTCATGAGGCCTAATTTAATTGAAGAGGCGGTAAAATAATATTATTTGGCCTATTAGTACAGGCTTTCGGAAATATTCTTTTGTCCAGGAACGAAATTAGTCCTCATTGGCCAATCTTTTTTTATGTAGTGTTGACTTCTAGCTCTGCTATCCCACTCACATAAAAAACAACAATATTTCGTGTACCCTCCTTGTAACCCAAGTAATATTCCAACAACTTTAAGGTCTGCACATATTTTCCAAGAATGCAAGTTGTACTTAATTTTCTCGAGTAGATTTTTTATATTAATATATGTTTCTTTTATGTGTATGCCATGTGCTAAAGGTACAGATGGAAGATCATTGCCATTATGCAGTAAGACTGCTTTTAAACTTAATTTAGAAGAATCAATAAATAGTCTCCATTGATCTGGTGAATAGTTGTCATAGCCTAATTTATTCATAAGCCCCTGCACATCACTGCAGTATGTAAGATCACTTTCTTGTTTAAAAAAGTCTACAAATTCAGCATCGCGTTTTCGATACACTGAAATTTGTGTACTCGGATGAAGTAAATTCCACTGTTGAAGTCTGGAACCTAAAAGTTCGGCTTGGGCTTTAGACAAATTTAAGTCTCTAACTAAATCATTTAGTTCACCTTGACCTACTAAATGTGGTTCGTTATCATTTACAACAAAATTTTGTGACTGAGTAAGGCTCTTCGTTGAAGATTCCGATTCGACGTCGCTTACGTTGTCCTCTGCATCTTTTTCCTTTTGTGGAGGTTGCGGCGGTGGACAGTTTTCGGTATGAGGAAGTGGTTTAGTTACTGATTCCACATCAGGGTATACAATTTTATCTCTCGTTTTATAGGAATATCCTTTAAGTTTCGTTAAACAGAAATAACAATCAGTAATATGATCTTTTTGTTCTCTCCAAAGTGTAGGTTTAGAAAAAGGCATTGCTAGGTGGGTACCTTTAAACCATCCTCTTAAATAACGAACACATCTTAAACAAAAATAACTCGGAGCCCAACTTTTTTTAATAGTTTCAGGAATGTTGAAACCAAAATACAAATTGTAAATGTTATTAAGTAACGGTGTAGGTCGTTCTCGATTAGAACTTGAAGTAAACTCTCCACAAGTAAAACAAAAGAGGTCCGGTGAATTTAAGCACTTTCGATTCATATTGTACTTCTACTTTTTCTTTTAAACTGAAACTTATCAAAAAAAAAAAGAGAAAAAACTAGTCACAATTTCAATAAACAGTTGAAATAACACTGGAAATCGAACGTCGTCTAGTGTTGAATAGTGATATAACGCGATAACAAACTAAGAATAACATATACTAAATGTGCACAAATGTGAGGGTATATGGTGTTCTTACAAATATCAGTTTTGTTTTTGTTAGAATGGCCAACCATAATACTTATTTTCTACCGTCAAAATTTTTCAAATTCAAAGTAAATCGTTTATTTAGATATTTCGATGTAATAGATTGTTTTTTTTTTTTTAAATACTTATATATGAGAGATACCGAAAATACATAAATTAATTAACGGCAAAAAGTCATGTTGACCAGTGCTATTAGTTAATTTAATTGAAATAACAAATACAAGCTATTACCATAAACAAACTTGTATCCTGGCCTTGATTTAACAGAACTCAAAAATGTCACTGCGAAGGACGCCGCCTCTTCAATCACCAAAAACAGACAGAAATCTGGCTCAATATTCTTCTGATCCCTCCCTAAACAGTACTATAAGCAAAGAAGGCTTCCGCGCTATTAACGATAATATTATTCAAAGAATTAAACGGCCAAGAGAAGAACTATCATCACCCGATCAGTTTTCAGTCTTTAAGGATGAGATTAAAGACCTGATCAGCTCGTTAATCCACGCCCAAAGTCAGCAACTTTCTTCTATAACCTATAAACTGAATGAGATAACGGAATCAAACGCAAAAATTGACTCAGCTATCTCTCTTTTAACGGAACAAAACGAGGAGTATCGTGGGAAAATCGCGGTTCTCGAGGAACAGGCTCGAAAAGACCGCGAGTATATCAGTATTTTAGAAGATAAAGTGGAAGACCTACAACGAACCTCTCGCAAAGCTTGTGTAGAAATTAAGAATGTTCCTAAAAAGACCCAGGAAACTAGGGCTGTTCTAGTGCAAATGGTCCTAAGTCTATCTAAGTCTATTCAATTAAGTATGACGGATCGAGACGTCAACGATATATTCCGTTTAAGACCCAGAGGTGATAGCGAAAAAAAGCCTACAATTATAGTGGAATTAAGGTCTGCATCCCTGAGGTCCGACTTCCTTAAGAGAGTGAAGGAGTTTAATGCTGCAAACGAGACACGACTACAGGCTAAACACTTAGGACTCACCAGTAATGAACACACGCCTATCTTCATATCCGAGCAACTTACCCCTAAGAGCGCCCGATTGATTGTTTTTTCTGGCCCGTGATTTGAAAAAAACTCAGAAAGTGAAGTACTGTTGGACCTCTATGGGGAGGGTACTGGTCAGGAAGGACGACACATCCAATATCATCCACATTCAACATGAAGCACAAGTGCAAAAACTTATGCAAGAACAATGACTATATAAGTGCTCATTTTTCCTAAAATTACTCTTTTTATTTTTATATATACTGTGTAACATTAATCTACCACTTAATTTTTGTAAGCTTATTAATATTTTGTCAAATACATATCAAAAAACAAACCACGCACAAAAACATTTACCTATACACACTCACACACATTATACTCTTTTCTGTCACACACACATGAATACACTACTCCGTTCTATTAACTACCAGTTATATACTGTGTGCACACTTTACATACACACTCATAGTAAAACTGTGCACACCCTATACGCAAACCTTTACACATATCTTCAAGCCACTGGTCACTATACTTATACTCATGCACTCCTAAAATACGTAGATTACAGCTACACAACACTATATACACTATCTATTTTTAATATATCTGATAACAGAGTCATTCTTTACTCGCTTTCATACACAATTTCTGATCTCGATATGCTACTTTATTTACAAATTTAATTCCTTATTTTAAACCATGAGAGTTCCTATTTACTTTCTAATGGCTAGTTTTGACACACTTAAAGAACTTGATCAGATTAAATTATCAGACTCTATTAAGTGCAGTATACATGAGTTAAGAATAAAGACTGAAAATACTACACATAATCTAATTATTTCAACTCAAAACATAAGAAGCATACACAAAAATTTTGATGATCTGCTGCTCACTATGACGCAATTAAAATATGAAATCGATGTTTTAATTTTGACCGAATGTTGGTTAAACCCTTACAAAAACATTCCACAAATGAAAAATTACACATCTTTCCAAACAAATCATCATATTAACAAATGTGATGGGGTCGTTGCATATGCCAGAAATGGTCTTGCGACAAAATTTAAAGAATTGAACCTTGAAAATGGTACTGGGATTGAACTACAAATATTAAACTACACCATTTTGGGCATTTATCGATCCCCGTCATTTTTAAATGCAGGAAATTTCATCGCTTCAGTTAACGGTCACCTCGAAACTATTTCTTCCCACTGCAATGTTATGATATTAGGAGACTTAAACATAGATTTAATTATATCCCCAAATGAAAAAACTCAAGAACGAACTAATAGAATAAACTATTTGAATACACTGGCCTTGCATGGACTTTTAGCGTCACACAACTTACCTACACGTGAGGATGGCTGTCTTGACCATGTATTTTTGAGGCTTGATTATGAAATTAATACAGCATTCACCGCGGTCCTAAACACTACAATAACAGACCATTGTTTTGTCCTTCTATCTATCTCAAGCAAACATAATCAAACGAAGTCGATAACTCATAGGTATAAAACAGTGACCAACTATGATAAAGCTCTTAAAAATCTAGTAGATATTGATGTCTCTTTTTTCAATGCTATTAAAGACCCAGATATATACGCTTTTGCACTAGTGGAAATGGTCAGGACTGCCCTATTGTCAAATACAAGAAATGTTACTATCACGAGCAGCAAAAGGGTTAAAAAGCCTTGGATAACTACTGGTGCTTTACGATGTATCAGGATTAGAAACAATATTTCATTGCAACTCAAAGCTAATCCCCAAAATCAAATTTTACTAATTACATACAAACGTTATCGTACATTCTGTGGTAATCTCATTAAAAAATTAAAAAATAAATATAATAAAGATAAAATAAAAGCATCCGTTATAAACCCCAAAACCCTCTGGGCAACTATTAATGATATCACACATTATAAGCCTCCCAAGGCCTGTAATGGTGATCTCCTTAATATCACAGCATGCCCTCAAACCTCTGTTAATTTCATGAATAGGTATTTTGTCAACATTGGTCAACAGCTAGCTGAGAACATATCGAATTCTAGTAGATGCGTAAGGTCTTCAAGTTATGCCGAGAGCCACTTGCAAGGTCATCCATCATCTTTCGTTTTACTGAACACCTCTCACAGTGAAGTAGAAAATGTTCTAATGTCCTTAGATTCTATGAGTGCGCCAGGTTGGGACCAAATCCCCACTCATTTTCTTAAACAAGCCAAAGAAGTTCTAGTCCCTTTGATCAGTGACCTCGCTAACCTGTGTTTTACCACGGGTATCTTTCCATTCCTTCTCAAGCGTTCAATTGTTACCCCTGTATATAAGAGTGGAGATAGAGACGACGTTAGCAATTACCGCCCCATCTCTGTGTTGGCTTCCATTTCTAAAATCATAGAGAAATTGCTAAATTCTAGAATAGTCAGCTATCTGAATAAGTATCACATTCTGTCGACCTCTCAGTATGGATTTAGAAAGGGAATGTCAACGCAGGATGCTATTATAGAGCTTACATCTGTTCTAACTAAAGAAATAGACAGAGGCAATAAATGTCTAGTGGTTTTTCTCGACCTAAAGAAGGCTTTCGACACCGTCTCTGTCTCCATTCTCATACGTAGGCTAGAAGGCATTGGGTTTCGAGGTTCTGCACTCTCACTTTTGAGCAGCTACCTTCAAAATCGGAAACAGGCTGTAAAAATAGATAAGCTCTTAAGTGAGGAAGAACACGTAACTTATGGCGTCCCGCAGGGCAGTGTCCTCGGCCCAACGCTCTTTTTAATTTACATTAACAATCTTTGCAACCTTAGTAGCGTTGGTGGGAGGATACTGTCCTACGCTGACGACACTGCTATCATTTTTGTGGGTAAGAACTGGGAAGAGGTCAGAGTGAAGACTGAGATGGGACTGGCTATGGTCAGTGACTGGCTCGGCGAGAATCTTCTTACTCTCAACACCCAAAAAACGAGCTATGTATGTTTTGCTCCATACATAAACTCGCAACCCCCTCCTTACTACGTAATTAAAACTCACTTCTGCGGTCCCCCCTTTCATAATAACTGTAACTGCCCTATAATTAAAAAACAAAGCAGTATTAAATACCTCGGCATTATTTTGGATCAGAGACTAAGTTGGTATCCACATCTTGAACTTACAATGGGCAGGATAAGAAAGCTGAGCTGGGTGTTTAAATCTTTGAGACAAATAATGTGCCCAGAACTTATCAACAAAATATACATTTCACTTGCCCAATCGATAATAATTTACTGTATCTCAGTATGGGGTGGTGCAGCAAAATCCTACTTTATAGACCTTGAGCGTGCGCAAAGATCATTAATTAAAGTGATGTACTCCAAACCACTGAGATTTCCTACCGCCGCACTATATGAACTTTGCAAATTGCTCTCTGTTAGGAAACTTTACATCCTAAACATGATGCTGAGATATCATAAAATATTACCATTTGATCGTGGTAAGCTTACTAAGAGAAGAAGTGATATCATAGCACCACAATATCCTGCTAAAACAGCCTTCGCTAGTCGCCAATACATATCTCAAGCACCTCATGTTTATAATAAAATAAATTGCAAACTAAAGATCTATAGTATGCAACTATTTGAGTGTAAGGGTACTCTTAAAAGATGGCTTACAACCATCAGTTTTGAGGAAACGGAAGACTTGTTGGTTAGGCTAGTGTAATTAAAAAACATGTGTGTATTTATGGGCATATGTATATGTCTATGTATGTATTGTATGTGTATGTATATATTTATATATGTATATATTTATATATGTATATATTTATATATGGATGTGTGTAAGATTAATTAAATATATATATATCGGTGTAGTTTGTATTAAATCTAAAGTACCAAGATACCCATATAATTGTTAAATTAGGGTCGATGTGGACTTTTGTATGTATTTATGGATAAATACTTCAGTGAATATATACAGACACGCTCACACGCACTCACGGCACACGCACACGCACAGGCACACACTCGCGCGCACATACACACACACATACACACACATTCACGCGCGCGCACACGCACTCACACACACACGCGTACACACGCACGCATGCACACAAATTGCTTTAAAAACCTGTTTGATTATATGGAAGAGCGGGGCTTCTCAACACAGGTATCTTTGGATTACTTTCGAGAGAAGCCCCGGCAACTGTATTGTTAAGATTTTAAAGTAATAAAGCTATTTTTTTTTCTGGCTGATGGCAAACGACCCTCCGAGAACGCTCGATGCACATTCATAAATACTCGGTAATCTGGGTATCTTTGGGCGTTCGGGTACCTTTCCCGATACAATCTGCTAGCAGCGTTAGCATTGCACCGACATTCTCCATAAATGAGGTGCATATTAGCGTATTCCATCGGCGTGTATGGTAGCGGCATGATAACGCTAAACAATCCAAATTACGACGAAAGTCCAATTCACAAAACACTGTCACAGTCCAAATTAATGCCAGGTTAGTTCAGTTTGCAGATCACTTAATTCCAGTCCAAAATAAAAAGCCAAAAGTCGTTAGTACGAGAGCCACGTCAATTGAATACAGAAAGGTGCGCAGTAAACAAAGGAGCAGAACGTACTGATCCGACTTCAGATTTGCTGAGAACAGGATTTCTCTATGTACCTGCATTGTTGTTATTCTACAAAAAATATCTATCTATCCCTCTCTAACATACCCTTCTCGCTATCAGTTGAGTCAACTATAAGTTGAGCTATTACAAACGTGCGAACTGAGTTAGAAAAACAAATTAGGTCAAAGGAATGTGACAATGCCGCAGAACTCGTTTTCGATAAAGGGATGCAGCCGCTCGGGTGCAGGTAGCTGGTAGAATTGGTAATTTGGTATACATAGACACAAGTAAAGGGCGAAGTGGCATGAAAAACAATACTTTCAAAATACCAGAAATAGAGCATTACCTAATAAATAAATATCTAATGAATATTTATATTTTGGTTCGTTTGTTTACAAATGGTGTGCATAATTTTTTACTGTGACTAGTTATCTTAGATTATTATACCATTTTGGAATCTTGATGAGTTCAGTCAATTTTAAAA